CCCAAGAGCAAAAGGGCTTCAGAGCCAAAGCAGCATTTGTCTGTAGAAGCTGGTGCAGAGCCCGAGCCAACGAGCTACCTCAGTTTCAGACGCAGGTTGCACAAATGCTAGTTACTAAGGCTAATCTTTACCAGGTATATTAACAGTAGGAGTGGGATTTAAGCCAAACGGTTGCACAGAAGAGTTTCTTCCCCTCCCCTTAATATTTGGCTTCTATCTCTTCTCTAGGCAAAACATTTTAGAAAAAATATATCAGCTCAGGCAATCTGTACTGCACAGCTAAACAATAAAACCAAACCTAACGTCAAACTTCTGATGACTGTCTTTTCTGTGGGCTTTATACATTAAGTTGAAATTTAATGCTGATAGCATTACAGCACTATATGCGAGGTAAACACATAAAACTTTTCTTTATATTGTCAAGGCAAAAAAACCTAAAGTACATTTCTTCTTTGCTAATATAGACTATTCACTTATTTGACATATTTGCAGTATTAATATTTAGAACAACTTCTGCTGTTTAAATACTTCTGGCGATAAATCAAAGGAAAAACATCTGAGTGGAAAAGCTGAAAACCTACGTATACAGTTTCCACATCCTTAAAGAGGAACTTGATTTCAAATTTGCCCTGTGCTTCTCTAGACCCTATTCTTTTTATAATGAACGACAAGACCACACTAATAGGCCGAACGGAAGCAGGACTAAGATCTTTACATGCTTATGGAACTGAAGCTCTGCTAACTGGTGGTTTAAACAGAAACCTCCTTTTTGCAGTGTCACTCACCTTTTGTGCTGCTTAAGCACCATCACAATATTCTTCTAAAAATATCTTTGACTATTGCTAGCCATATATAAGGAACATGTGATCCTTGAACTGCAGCTAAACCTCTCCACTGCCCTAAATCAACAAACGCTTGGATCAGACTTATTTTCAAATGGATATTTTCCACATATTTGATTTTTGACAATGTTTTTCCATGCACAAACTGCTCTTCTTTCAAGGAGACTCCAGTTAAAGTTTCGAAATATATTTTTTAATGCTGCAGTTATAGCCCATTACTTTCAAAAGAGAATCTTTCCTCAGTGCAATTTTCAGTAATTCAGTTGGTTTCTGAAGTTTTGTACCTGAACTGCAGCTTTTATTTGAGGACTTGCACCTGTAACTCTTTTATTCATTGTAGCCTTACATCACCGAGCTTGAAGTCTGGGCTCTAAGATCTGCACTCATATTCAGTTTTGTGGGTGTAAAAGTACATACCAAGTTTTTTCCTCCTAAATTAAAAGGGTAAATCCTACCCCTTTAGCAAATGCATTCCACAGCGTTCCACTTTTTGAACGATACTCTACATTCAACATTTCATATTCTAATTTTTGTCTCCTCAATGTAAAAGAAACAGAGGACATTTTGCACCCAGTCTTTTCAGATTCTATCTAATTCCTCTTCACCATCAATTTCTCTGTCCCTCTATTTGATCTACCCCCTCTCAGTAACACAGCAGATGCAATCCACAGCTGTGTGTGTTTGTGTGTGAGTGTGATGGGGCAGGGACGGGATGCAGCGACCGACAAATCATATTGAACAACCGAATAGAGAACCAGCAATAAAAACAGTTTTCTTCAATGCAAAGCTTCAGAGGAAGGAAGCAAATACTTTTGTAAGCCAGAAGAAAAGCATATAAAAGTATATGACTGCTCCAAAGTTAATAAGAAAATGTGCTCATTGAACATATGCAGGGAAATACACTGCTATTAGGAGCAAATGAGAAAAATACAATAGTTTAAAGCACACAGCTACATGTAAGGAGACAGAAGTATTTTGTTGCTCTGTCAAAAAACAAAAAACACTAAGCCCATATACTAAAGCCAAAATACAACTGAAGACCAAAAGAGCAAAATGTGCACTGCCAGGCTACTTTTGGACATTTCCCAAAGAGCTCTTGAACGCTATGAAAAACCCTCCTGCACTGACTGCTAAATGGATTTGCTTTTCAACAAACAGTCCAAGGCAGGAACTGACTTCTACGACATCATATGAAGTGTAAAAAAACTGCAGAAATACTGACTCAAGGCACATGCATACATGTAGACGCAACCCTCCACATTCTACTTTCTTTTGACTGAATTTGGCATCTTCTCTAACAACTCCGCGCTGCTCCGAGCGCTCTCCAGGCAGGTCACTTTAATATCCGCTCCCCCCCACCCCCCAGAAAAAAAAAAACTCTACCTTTGTGTCATGGCGTATTGCCGAGACTGGGGTGATTTCCTCTGCCCTTTTCTTTTTGCCCTCTTCGTCGTCTTTCTCCTCTTCTGCCTTTTTCTCTGGCGTCACGGTGGTTATCAAGTTGGTCTGCGAGATGCCCTTTGTTGTGGCGTACTGGCCTGTACCAACCTCTGCAGCAGACACAGAATCCTTCATGTACATTTCATGGTTTTCATTCACCGAGGCTAAAAGCAAACATTTAAAGAGGTAAAGTCCGAAAGAGCCTTCGCTGCGAAGCCGCGCAAAATTAAAAAGCTCGGTTAGTAAAACGCGCGTCGCTTTGGCCGCGGACGCAGCCAAGCCGTGTTTCGGGCAAAGCGGAAACGTGTGCACACATTTAAATAGAGGTTGTCCACTTGAAGTACAGCTTTTAGCTTTTGTATGCAAACGCACACATACGCGATGTATGTGCACACACACATTACCGTTGCTAATGTGTGCACTATACATTTGTTAAAAGCTAGCAAGCCATTAGAAGTGCTCCTGTAATAAAACAGGAGAAAAAAAATTAAAACATTGCCATGTTATCAGGCAGGAAACATAAGGAAAAACAGCCATGACATCAGCCGTGGGGATAGAAGAGATTTTTTCTGAAATCTGTGAGAATATAACGATACAGATTAAACACACGGTAAGTAATGCACTGCATTACAGGAAATGACAACATTTGTGTAACACATATATAATGTCTGAGAGTCAAGAAACAGGATTTTTCTATTAGCTAGGATTAAAGTCTGCCAATCAAGTGTGTTCATTATCCCAAAAAAATCCAGAAAGAGATGGCATTCAATTCAGTAGACCAAAACAAGATATTTTAACATTTAACATTCAGTAATTCATCAAACATATATTAATGATTTGAAAATAAATAGCAAATTTACAAATAGAAGAGAATGTTATCATGACACATGCCTAGATCCTGCTGTGCAACTTATTCCTAATTCAATAGGACTATACACATACACAAAGTTAATTTCATGTGTAAAAAATCTCAGGACCACGATGGCAGTGTAATCATATGTGATGCAGAATGCTACATCCATATTTGCACTACAATAACAGCATCAGTGAACAAATTGTAACTATGGACTAAAAAAATCTCTTTTCCCCATTTGTGCTTATGGCAAATTAACATTATAAAAACCTTGCAGTGTCTAACAAACGAGTGGGAAAAGCTTTCAGATATGTTGTCTCTCGGTAATGAGCTCAGGAGGCAGGAAGAAGCAAAATGAGTAGAGGGAGACATCTTGTTTAGATACTACAGACAAAATAATGCAGAAGGATAATGTGTGCTTCGAGACGCATGCACAGCAATCAGGTCACCAGTTGCTTGGTAACGCGTGAGAGGCACATCAGAATTAGAAGATTCCAAAATAATTAATGATAAGCAGGACCTTGAGGGGGAGAACGGAAAGCTTGTCACGAGTACTTTTAAATCAAAGCTTCTGCCCCTCCCCACCGCCAGCTACATTCACTGTGATTCATTTGTGATATCCTGTAGGAGACTTCTTTCTTTGAACTGCAGAGATTCTAAATTTAGTCTATTAATATTTTTTTCTACAAAAATAAACCACAAACAATATTTACTTGGGAGCTGACATTAATAACAACTGATCAAGTAGCTGAGATTCTGAATGACATGTTGCTTTAGTCTAAAGGAGCAGCTGAACCTTGACTTCCACGCACTACAGAGAAAGACGGAGGAGGAAGAAGGGTGCACTATTAACCTGCATATGTTAATCTCCAGCTTACATCTTTAAAAACAATGTATGTAAACAGCCTATAAGCACTCATCACACTTTAGAGGCTAGGTAACTGGAAGAAAGTGCTATTACTCAATGAAGAGAAGTTATTCATTTATGAATTCATATTGTATACTTAAATTTAAACCTGCATACAAAAAACACGCAAATTAAAGAAAACCCAAACAGTTACTCATATAAATGTTGCAGAAAGCGTTGAAACCTGACTCAGGCCATAGGGCAGGACTGTGCCGGCAGACTACTTCTTTAAAGCGCAGACGTGCTTTGCAAGTGTAAGACCAAAGAACGGAGCCCATGAAGAGCGGACTCCCAAGGACGTCCTCCTGGCATAAGCTTTGTAACTACTGTGGCAGTAAATTTAGCATCAGGATTTATCTGTTAAATACTTCTAGCAGCGCGCATGTAATTACCCTGGGCTCCCGCTTGGGCCAACCTGGAGGCCACCTCCTTCCCTCTGCCGGCCACCCACCATCGAGCACTCTCACTCTCTGTCCCTTTGCCCTGACCAGCACACCTGCAAGCACCATGGGGCCCGGGAAGCACCACTGCCTTCTCTCATATTCAAAAGGCAGGGCATTTGCTTATCTGATAAAACAGAGCAGAGGAAGCAAAGGGTATTTTCTTCCTCCTGGAGAAACCTGGAGGGGAGGTGGAAGGAGAGGGAAGACAGACCCAGGCTGGGACGGTCATGAGACGTCCAGCCCCAAGGTTTGGCCCCAGTGCCCTACACCCCAAATCAGAAGTAGCCAACAGATGCCACGAAGCAAAGACTTGTTTTCTGGCTCATCTCCCTTGGGACTGCTGCGTACTTCAAGTGCAACGGCAGTCAGCAGGGAGGTTGGAAGAGAGCTGTCAGTGACAGCTCCTCCAGCTCAAGGACGCGACAGGCTCGTCGGCTTCCCAGGCTGGAGGTGACTCCTGAGGAAGGACTGCTGGCAGTAATTTCAAAAAAGGCTTCATTAGAAAGCAAAAAAAAGTCCTTTTAAAGTCAGTAAGCTTCGTAGGGCCATCTGATGCCTTCCTTACTTTATCTGAGAGACACTTCTGTACTGCTCAGGGTACTGTACTGTACTGTTCACATTGCACAACTTGCCTCATGAATCTAATTTTAAAAGTCCAGCTATGTAGACGACGAAATATTGCTTCTCTTCCCACATAAGCCTTTTGTTGCAGATTGCATGGGTTATTAAAAGCAGAAGGGCCAGCTGTATTGATACAACTTCTCTTCACGTTAAGTAGTGAACGTGCATATACTTACAGTCTCCACTCAGCAGAGGCTCAAGGGATATGAGATTACAAGAGGTTTATATCTAATCTAAATCAATGAACGCAGTGGACTATAAGTTCTGAAAAAGTCCAAGGAAGGCAATTAAGAGGATCTTACCGCCATCTAAGCTCCGAGACATAGTATAACGTTTACTAGAAGAACGCTCAAAATAAGGTGCAGGGCGGTCTATTAGCGCACTGGCTCGTCTAGTCTGGGCCTGTGTTCGACCGCTGTAGCGAAATTTGGAGCCCAGCGTGAGGAATTTCTTTGGAGGTGCTTCTGGTAGCAGGAGCCTAAAACACACCAAGTAGTGCATGTATTATTCCACTTATTCCAAAAATAAGTCCATCATTTCTGTAGAGGAAAAAAGAACACTGCTGTGTATCATTATCCATTGTAACCTATGTCCCATGAGTCCAAGGCTAAAAAGAAAGCAAAGAATGCCCCACATTACAAAATCACTTAGATAATGGATGAGAAAAGATGAGTTCTTAACAGGCAAGAATAATGCTAATCGCACAATCAATCTCTTCCTGATTGAAAATCAGATTTATTCATTTCTAATCACCAAGACTAAAACTGAAATGCTCCTTGTATCAAGGACTCTGATATGGGCTGAAATAGGGATATATCTCTTATACTTGAAATTTATGACAGTGCTGCTATACTGAAGACAGAGTCAGAACAGATTTCTAACAAATGCAAACCATAGTCATTCACAGAGATGCAAACATTTTTCAGGGTAGAGCCTTCTCACTGTCTGTATTTAGATTATGAGAGTTTGCTGAAGAATCCATTCTCCTACTATGGAGTTCACGCTTTAGAAGGTGACTTTCCATTAACCATCGAAAAACACCAAACAAATGCACGCTCAGTTACTTTTTAGCCCTCGTAGCATTTCACATGCAACCAGTGAAGTCACATAAGCCTGAACCTACAGACAGCTTGAACCAATAGTTTTAAGAAAGGAAAGAAATTCCTCAGTTGTCCCAAACATCTACAGAGGGATTTGTAAGCGCTGGCTGCCCTTTCAAGCCATTGAAAGCTCACCCTTTTGGGTTCCCATGGCTAAATATTTCATTGCTGATTGTCTCAACACAAATGAGGTACTACGTTTATTCCACTATCCTAAACTTTTCTCAGGCCTTCTTAGACGCCAAAAACAAAGCTGAATATGCATAGCTGCAAAATTCCTCCACCATACAATAATGAAAACTATGGACTGGGTATTCCAAGAAACACATCACTGTCTACACTCTGTATTTTCATATTTAATTAAGTCAAAATCTCTCTTTTTTTTTTTTAACTTTTACCCACATCTCCTAGTAATTTTCCATCTAAGTTGTTCTTTCTAGATGAGTTGTATGTGCAGAAGTGTTACATACTTCTTCAGCTCTTTCATTATAGTGCCTGATAATATCATGTACAGATAAAGCAAAAACATGAAGCTAACTATTAGACTCTTATGGTGATTTTATGCATTCAACATCTATTTGAAAGAACATAAATAATTTGTGTGAAACTTGCCAAATTTTTAAGGAGCAGTAACCTTCCTTTGTCTGCTCAGGGACAACTCTTGAGCAGAAAGACAATTTGATTTGAAGGCATTTGTCTCTACTGACAGAATTGTTATTTTTGGTCATGTTTTATGGTACACCTTTAGGAAAAGAAATCCACATACCTGAAAAATGTATGGTGTTCAACACATACTTTCCATAAGCGCTTTGCAGCACGATGATTTGGCAACTTAAACCCAATAGTGCTTTCAAACTGCTCAAACTAGGTAGGAAAGAAGAAAATCAAAGTATGTATTTGATGCTGTGCATCTGTATTTAGGCAGTGTGCACAGGTATACAGGTTCATCTTCATTTCCTCTGTCTATATCATCTCATTGCGAGTGCGAACATATATGCCTGTGTATATAACCACACAACATATAACCACTATTCTGTAGACACCTCTCTAGGAATTAAGCTGTGAGCGGTAGTCAAAGATAAACTTTGGGGACTGGTTTCTGGGAGAAATTCAGATAATGAGCAAGAGGTTTTCCTGGTGACAATATGTTTTACGCACTATAGTAAGGAAAAGATCAGATAAGACTTGGGAGATATCAGAGAAAAAAAAAATTAAGTGTTTTTGCCCTGCTGTTTTAACAACGTGCAACAACTTCACCAGTTTCAAGAACAGTGGGAAGCCTGACAATAGCCTGGAGGGGAGGAATAGTCCCCCAGGACTGATTTGGTCTCACACAGCCTTAGACTAAGGAGATTTGCAGTAAAAGAGCTAGAGGTAGTAAATCACCATGTTTTTAGCTAGTTCATCTCCTGGGGAGCATGAGGAGAAGAGCAGGCAACTGAAAGAGCTGGCTGGGGATACCAAGTCACCTTTCTAGGTTGTGCTGCAGATTTATATTCCAGTTGCAAAAGCTGTGGCAGCTACAACAGTTGTAACATGGTGATAGTTACAGGCAGATAGCTGAGTAGGTCATATAGGGCTGCTGGGATCAGGCAAAGGTAGGCAGAAGGGTAGCTGTAAGAAAGCCTGAATCTCTACGGGAACGGACAGAAGAAGACAAGGCAGGAAATAGCAGAATGATAAAGACGATGTAAGGGATGGTGAATCACATTATCATCAAATGTGATTTGGAAAGAGACTGCATTGATTATTTTGCATATGTAACTATGACTGCGTTACAAGAAGTTACATATAAGACCAGTAGAGCTCATTAGGACTTCAGTGTTAAAAAGCATGAGTGCCAGCAGTGGGAACGTCAGTGGCCATTCTGTTTCTTTAAATCAAACTCAAGACTGGGAAGTTGGTTACTAAGACTGTGCTTGCTGAGAGGCAGAAGATATCAGGTTTGCGGATTTTGGTGTAGGCTTCTGTAAAAATGCTCAAGTGCCCAGTTATACTGTAGGGGTCGCAGTAGATTTCCCAGGTCACTTACAGAGCCAGTACTGGAGACATTAGGCTCGGGGCCTCTCAGCTGCCATACTGCTTTAAGGGAGAAATACCATTCCTAAAAATCAACTAAGCGCTTTCTTTCTTGCTATGCAGCTCCACCCTCTAAAATGAACATGGGTTTTTCGTTTATCACAGACTGATTACTGTACCAGCAGTTGAAATGGGAGACACTCCTTCCTCTGTGATGATCTTGAACTCTTCCTGGGATTTTTGCTAAGATCTATCATCTTACCTCTGTGTTAGTGCACGCTCAAAACATGAGGTACCGACAGACACACACGTTATCAATAGTGGATTTGCTATGCATCTGGCTAAGCCACGAGAGGGCACTCATTGTACGAGCTTTCACATCACCTTCTCCAATGTCAGCACGTGAGCTCCTACGGGTCTGGAAGGGCTAATGCACGTAGCTACCAATAATGCTGATGAATGGACGCTTGACTCCATTTTTATCAGTCTTCAGATTTCTACTCAAACTCCAAATTTACTAGTCTGCTGTGCTTATAAAATTTGGTATGGCCTATCTACATCCCTTAGTGGGTAAGATGAATAGACACTAATTCAATACACAACATGACAGTGGATGATGAATAAGCACTCCATGAATAAGCATAGTTCTACAACTGCAGCAATATGTTACTTAAATTCCCAAAGTATTGATAAAATGAACGAGCTTTTCTACAATGCAGATGGCCATATTTATTCTTTACATTAGTTCATAGATGCAAACAGAAAAACACCAAAGAAGGTTTTACTTGTGTTTTAAATATTTAGCCAATCTTTCCTAAGAAAATCAGCACAAATTAAGAAATGTAAATAGAGAGGTACGTTAAGGGCTTATAAGATATGACATATCAACAAATAAGTGACAACATGGGGTTTTTGGAAAGGCTTCATTCACTAAGGAGGGTTGGGAAGCCCTTACCTCCCCTGGTCGGATTTTGATGTAGAAGTTGTTCCTCTTGTATGAAATTTTCAGAACCTTTGGCCAGGCAAATCTATTTATTCTCAGTCTGTCTCGATATATTAAGAGACCACTCGCACAAACACCTAACATGATCTCCACTCCTTCAGAATCCTGGAAAAGGAAGCAATGTGCTTTGTTGAGTACTTCCCCCTTTACATGGCAAAGTTTTACAGATTCTTGTAAACTGTTTTTTTTTTAATGAGCTACATGTTTTTAATACATCAGCTGCAGTGACCTGACTTCTAAAAGCTAGCCTACTTATATCTGCATTTATGCAAGTAATAGTAAGGTTAGCAGGGTGAGAGAGCCTAAGTATTGCTGAATATTGCTTTACCTTTTACAAAGACTCTAAAATGAGGGGGGGGGGAATGTTAGAAGCTATTAAAATAATAGAATTATCCATGCAGCAAAACTTTATTACTTCCCAAGCATCGTTAGCATAAATACAAGATTGAAAGTAATCAGGACTGCATACCATTTACCTCTCTCTGCATCACTCATCTCCATGACTAAGCCCTATGAATCCTTAGATTTTTTTCTGTAGTTTGCTTGTATTGGTGTTAGCTGGTTTGCGAGTTTCTTTAATGCTGTTATGCCTATGCCCACTATTTTCACTTTCTCACTTCTCTGCAGTACTATGTGAAATGACCAGTAGGCAGAAAGTGAGGCACTTACACCAGAAAGATTATTTAAAAAGTCTTCTTTAAATGAGTCTGTTATGATTCATTTTGACAGAGAAATTGCAGTTCAGACAACTTATTCTTATAAAAGATTTGGCTGTAACCCTATTAGAATACAACTATAATATTTTTTTTTTTTAAAAGAAGGAAGAACTTTTCTTTCCTTCACAAGCCTTCACGTAGTCATAAACCAATCTTCGCTCTTTACTGTTACCCCTGGCCTGTCAAGGATATACTTTTTTTTTTCATTTAGCTAAGTAAATACTGTTGGAAAATGAAATAGTGACCTTAAGGCACCGAATTATTTATTAATTATTTTAAGATAAATTTATAAAATTCTGACAACAGAAGCTATGAATAGGTCACCCTGTGACAAACATGACATTAATTCATCATTTTCCTTTAGTTTTCCCAACAAATCATGTTTTAGGCATATAGTGAAAAATCCGGTTACATTTTAAGATGAACGCAAAGACACACATAGTCAATCTGGATAAAAAGGTTACAGCACAGCCTGAAATACAGAATAATTGCCTTAAGATCAGAGACACAATGTACAATTAGTGCCAAAAGGTCACCCCATTGTTAAAAAACACACCAAGAAACGACACATGTTCCAACAGTGATGATATTACTCCTTAAAGGTAGATTATTTCCTAAATAAAATTCTGATACAATATCAATGTGACGTATTACAGAATAGACAAAGTTACTTTTTTCAGTGGATTTTAATTTTTCAGTTTCCTAAGCAGTGAGTAACGTTTAAACATAATGAACATGTTTTAAAAAAGTAAAGTCTCATTGCCTGAAATCATACTGCCTGGCAAATGCCTGAAATGTACACATGTTCACATATGGCGCGCAGTTGCATGTGCAAGGAGCTAATTCTTTTGAAATACTTTCTCGAAAACTTGTTGAGAAGAGCTTTCTTTCCTCAAACCCACCTTTGTAGCAGATCTAAATGCATTCAAGGCTTCTTCTACCTGTTAGTGTCAACGATTGCTTTCAAATGGGATACTACTGGCGTCAAACTAGAGTAAGAGGAGAATTTGACTTTTTTTCAGGAGTCATGCCTTTCCGCGGCACAGAAAACTCTTAACCAGAATGACCAAGACATGAGAAACAGAGTTGCACATACTTGTAATTCTAGGTGTAAATGGGAGGTTTACTGGAGTGGTAACAGCCCAGACGACAAATCTGTCTATTTGAATGCCTTTTTTTTACCGTAGCCTTCTGTTTGGTAATTGAGAACCACTTGTAGCTAGTGAGTCCCATATCTGTTGAATACCTTGGAAACCCGTGCAGCCTTAAGGAATTGACATTTGACATCAATTACGCATAGAGATCTGCCACTGTATGACTCTGAAAAGCATCCCACTGAGGCATTTGACCCATGTGATGGTCTGATACCATTAGATCTCACTAGCAGACCTAATTCAAACTAAAATATTACTTTTCACATAGATTCCAGTTTTACCACTTTTAGCGCAGTTTCCATGATTCCAGCTGGGTTTCTTAACCCACAGACAAACCCTATTTGGTTACCAATGCAGTTTTTTAAAATATAAACTTTACATTAGAAAAAGACCAGCTTGTCTACCAGCTTCTCTTGCTCTGTGTCTTTCCACAAGAAAAACAGAAGAGTAAAACTGTATACTGATATTTTTTGGGGAAAAAAACTATCTCAGGATATCTTATCTTAGATTTCAAAGCCTTTCTCCAATATTCTGCAACCTGAAGAAAATAATTTGGCCTTAATGGCATGCTATGTTAAATTATCAGTAACGAAGCCTACAACATATTTAGAACAGAAACTCACTTTGTTGTTGTTTTGTGGAATTCTGTATGTTGGACAAAGGATACTCAATAAAAGCTACGGAGTGACATTTGCCAATCCATTTCTAGCCTTGCTGCAAACACGCCTCAAGATCGTGTGCCTATCTGCAAGGGACAGCAAAAGCCACAACCTGCCTCCTGGTGGAAAGCTGCCCATTGAGTCATACTCAGATTTTTCATTTTCAGTGAAGGCAATTAACTGAACACAAAAGATTGCCTTGAATTCTGTAACATAGATGCCCAGTTCCTATGAAATGCCCCAGGGACGCGGTTGCAGGCCCTTTCAAGATGTAAGCTGCAAACTTGTTTCAGTTCCTGAAAGGGTCTGCTGCAGAATAAAAACGGGCTCACAGTAATGTGACCTCTACAGAAAACGCGGCTCTCTCCACAACTCAGCATTCCTTGTTCAGTGCTCATTTGCTAAGCATACTTACGAACCTCAAAGATGTTGAAATCCATTAGTCTTACTTTGAAGAGTGAAGAACAAATAGTAATTATTTATTTGAGGGGGGAAAAAAAAAACTAGACAAACACCAGAAGGCTATTAGGTGGCTCTCCCAAACCACAATAAGAATGACCATTTTTGACCATACTTTAACCTGCTGATGATTAGAGAGACTCCGTGGGAGAACGCTTCCAAAAGAAGTACTACCCACCCAAGTAACTGCAACGTCTGCACTTCAGAAGAGACAAAAGCCTCTGTCTCCTCATTACTATCAAATTGATTAGGTTTCCAACAATGCTAAATAAGCACTTGAAGGTGGTGTGCAGTGTTAGAAATGATCTGTTCATGTAGTTAAGACTCCACAGTTGGCCTTACTAAATTGGAAAATATAGCTGAATGAAAAGATAACTGATTGCTCTCTTGACAGCTTCTAATATCCTTGCTCACTCCTCTGTCCTTTCAATACTTCTGACAAAGGAGTTGGTTGTCTAATCAACATGCAAGGTATAAAGCACATCTACCAATGACTGATGTGCAACACTTTTGAATCAACAGGCTAAATTATGCTACAGTTGCAAGATAAATCCATGCTTATCCTATGAGTTACCTTTCTTCATGTTGACTAGTGATTTACTCCACAAATCACCTGTCTTGAAACAACAAGAAACTTCAGAATCAGAGAGTCTATGTGACTTGAAGTACTCTACCATGTGAGAAAGACCACCACTGTGGGCTCCCAGCTTAAAGAACTACAGTTCATACCTTGGCATGATGGAGATCTACTCCATACATTGATAATTTTTTGGCATTCTCCAGGAAATGCATCTCAGCCTCTGCAGGTGTCATTCCCCTGAGGAAAAGCAACCAATGTTAAGGAAACATAGCCTGAAATAAAATTCAGTGCTCGCAAAACATTTTCATTCTGTAAAGAACTAAAGCTGTATCCCTTAGACAGCTGGGTATATATCCGAGCTAAAGCTCTGCTGCAAATCTCTTCTTCAACCAAATAAATGGAGAGGAGTCTTGTCCTAAAACTATCAAGTGCTATCAATTTAGCAAGACATTGCAGCAGATTTTAATATTTCATGATGGAATTGCATGCAGGTGACAATTCACCTTCTCTGCTTACCTGTGGCTCTTGTGCAACTCAATGACTTTGTCTTCCAGTTCTTTAGTGTGGTTTGGTGCAAAGCGGAATTCACTGACGTAGTCGCTGCCATATTCATCGGGGTCATAATCGCCAAGCTCCGACTGCACAGTATAGGAGCCCAGGAGAGCGAGCGTGACAAAAGAGCAGGGCAGTCGACCAGAAACAATGTCATCTCTCAGCTGCAAGCAGAGGTAGTACCTGCAACAGAGTGCGGTAACAACTTAGAAAGTCCTCTTCCAGCACTTTTGGAAAAGGAGGTTGGGCCCAAAGAGTGGCAAGAACATCTCCCTTCTGCTGCTGCTACTAACTTGCTGAGAATGCCCGAGCATAAGGCTTTTCAGGTGTTAATAAAGATAAAAAAATAAAATCTTTCCTAAGCTGTGGGTACCAAGCCTTAATTAATTAATCTTATATTTATAAAGCAGCATGGACATTTCATAATAAAATTTTGCTATTCTGCTTAAGGACCAATTGTGTTCTAGATGAAGAAACCCTCATTAAACATGCTAGGGCTTCTTTCTTTATACAGCTATTCTGGGCAGTTTTGCTCATTTGATTAACAACCGTAAGAATTTTCTGTAATACATAAATTAATAAACAAAACTTAGATATATAGTTAAGTGATAATTTTTTTATTTGAGGAGAAAAAAGCAAAACCAAATACTGATTCTTAAAGGGTAGATGAACTTTAAGAAATTTAAAAAAAAAAGCCATCTCATTAATAAGTTATGGAGCTTTCTCAAAAATACATTTAAATAGTAAGTGCTCTTAAAAACATTGTGATGAGCAGAGCAAGAAACCATGAGGTAGAAGGAATCAGAAAAACTCAAAAATAACGTTTGCTGGCTTTGTGGTTGAGGTAGGGACTTCTCGTAGGAGTTGCAAGGGTGAGATAGACCTCCTGACTCCACAAGTCTTACTGCATGCCTGATGTCAGTGTGGTCTAGTCCTCAGCTGAGGTATAATTTTTGGTTTCACATCCAGGTCTTACCCCAGTATGGAGCTGACAGAGGACTGGGATGTGCACCCAAAGCCAGGAATTAGGAAATATTCCTAAGTCCCATACTGCAGAGATAACCTCTGTGTGTTGAACCCAATTGTACATGAGAAAGAAAGCAATCCTTCCTTTCTCCCAAACTTTCCTTTTACCTCTATTCAACTATGAACTTTTGGGACACTGTTTTTTGTTATATTTCATTATATTATATTCAATACACATATTCAATTATTCAGTATATAGTATATTCCACTGTCTAGTGCAGGGGAACTCTGTCCTACGCTGAAGGCTTTATCTAAATGCTACCTTAGTCCACAAAGCAACAGATGGCTAAAAATACCAAGAGGCTGCAAAATGGGCTCAGGAACAGCTTGCCCATTGCATAAAACTCTTCAGGGCTTAGAAAGCCTTTTATGTTACACCAAGGAGAAAACCAAGTGAGGTTTTTTTGTTTGTGCTTGCAATTTAACTACTAAAACAGACAGCGGAGGTGCAGCCTGCAGAGGTAAGTGACCGCTGGGCAGCAAGAAGCAGCCATCTATTAGTGCCAAATTCATTATACTGTGTGCATCAGCTGCATACCTAGTGAGAGGATATATAAAAATTTAGAGCATGCTTATTCTTATCCCCATTCTCTCCTTTCATAGCTGTGATTTTACTGACAATAAAAACTTGCTACCACTGGCAAGACTGGGCAGTGGGCATCTTTGTGAGTATTTAAAATACAACCAACTCCCAAGAATACGTATACTGGAAATGCTTGATTTTAGGGTCAAGTTATGGAAAAGCAAAAGTCTTCTTAGCTCAGAGCACGAAAAACTGTTCGTAGTCTCTTTTCTGCCAAAGCATCACATATTTTCCACAAGCTCCTAACAGTTAGGAAGCCAACTGCAATGCAAAACATTCCTTTACTCAGATAATTAGAGTGTAAGCACTATCAAGAAGAGGCTTTTAAGCCCCTTCTAGAAAGGTATTTAATGTTTTAAACACCTGGTAATATCTTCAGATAGCTGGGCAGGGTCTGGAGGGTAGAATTTCACATTAAATGCAAACTGCCAAGCACCACCTGGAAAAGAGCACAGGATTACTAAAAGTACCCCGCAAGCGCAAACAGAGATGTTCATGCTGTTAGATTACTAGCAGACTTGAAAATACTCCAGTTAAGAAATTCATAAAAATAGAATGTAGTATCTTTCTCCTGTATACTCTTCTGAAGATATTACTTTTTCTCCTCACAATTACAGTATTAGCCCAGATCTTACAGCTCTTTTCTTATTTAGTAAGATTTTCACTGAAGCAGAGAGACTAAGGGAGCAGCAATTAAAAAAAAAAAATCAGTCGAGAAAAACGCTTCCTGGAATTAACAATCTGAAAACGCAGCCTATACAAACTTTAAAAACAAATAATCCAAAACACGGAGGCACTGGAAGCACTGCAAACTAGTGCATAAACGGGCTTCCAGCGCGTAACGACAGTCACGTGCGCGGTCCTGAACTCTTATCTGCCCATAAACGCTTCTCAGCACCGCCACCGAGTGCTGCTTCAGCACATAGCTCCTGTCTTCAGCAGACATAAACTACCGTGTAGACAAAACTGCAGGGACAAACACAGAGGCCAGAACTGAATAAAGGCCTTCAATTCTGGTTTAGGAAGGTCAGTAAGTTTAGGTGACTCATGGGATGATGATTTGCATCACGGCAAACATTTTGCAAAATTTGTCTGGAAGATTAGCTTCCAGTGTGGTAAAGCACATCAAGACTAAAACTAAGAAAGAATTAAACATAACAGTATAAACATAAAAGCTATTCTGAAAAAAAGGGACAGGTTATGCTAGTTTCAAATGCAAACAAAAAGCAGTAACAAACCCCCAAACTGGAATGTTCTAACGAGCAACGTGCTGATATTTTAGTAACAGACCTTTTCATCTAAGCTTTTGTTACGCGATACACCTCTCTGTACGTATTTCTGTCACTTAAACCACAATATTTCTGCAGTCAACAAACCAAAATCATGGTAATCTGACACTTTTCTAAAGTGCATTGACATCAAAACACAAATTAAAAAAAAAATGTAAATCCTCCTTCTGAAAAGACTCATATTGGCTGTGTAATGAGAAAGTGCTTTGCGAACTCTGAGAAACAGGACTCTTTCTTATAACCCTTACGGGGTGGGCTTTTTCACGATCTTCAGTTCACAGGCACCTTGCACCTCCTGATGAACACAGGTTTTGAAGGTCAATCTGATACACTTCATAGTAAAGAAAGCTTATATGCTCGACAGTAAAAGAATGCTGAAGCTTTTCTAATTGGACAACACCAGTTTCAGAGCTGCCTGGAAATTCGGTAAGGTTTTCCTATTTAGATGCTTGGGAGCGTTCATTTAGGGACTACAAGGAAATTCTGTCCTATGCAAAGCCCCGTTTACGATGGCCCTCCATGCATCCACAGAAAACAGGCTGAATATGCTAAAAGATACCGACATTTACCATTAGGATTTCGGCTCATGGTGACACATTGGGGTTCCTCCATCTGAGGACCTTTTCCACTTTTTTGTGCCATAAAAGCCTATGGGATGAAGATTTGGCCAGCAACGAGGGTGGGACATGTCCCATCTGGGAACGGGCGCTGAGCAGGGCCAGCCCTGCGACTGGACACACGGCAGAGGGCAGGGGGGCTTTGAGGCCGCTGCTGGAAAATATGTACCTGGCCTCTGGCACACGCGAAATAAATTAAGCCTATCGCATATCCCTTGGGAGCACGGCTGGCCACGATAACAGAGTAAGAGGCCTTCTCTGCACAACATACCTCTGTTCAAGTCAGCGAGTTAAAACTAATGGGGTGCAAACCGGAGGCCTTATACACAGCGACAGCTTAATTTGTCAAATGCTGGAACGAAATCCTGCTTGTTTACCATGGAAGCATGGATCTCTGAGTCTTCTACCACTCAGTCAACGTTTAGTAGGATTGCAATTTTTTATTCTTTTTACCATTCATGAAAATTGCCATGTGCAAGAGTCCTACTTTTCCAAAGTTCTCCTGTTCCAAACTTGTAAGGTGAATTCTATAAAGCAAGCAAATTATCACTGTCGTCTTCTACAAATACAACCGGCCCCTGCGTCAAGTCCAGGACTAGACTTTTCTGCCCTGGTTAATCTCTCGCTGTCACAACCTTTCATTGTCTAACTCATGGCTTGGGCACATATTAAATGCATTTCACATCAGGAGTTTGAAGCTGAACTGTTTTACTTGCATTGACAATCAACATAATTTGACTCATCAAGGTCTGCAGCACTTTCCAGACCCACCCTTCTGGTAGATTACAAAAAGGCACACAATGGAACACAAAACTTGATTATTTGTTATTGCAGATCATTTACTTGTAATGAAAATAATACTGGTGGAAAGGTGCAGTTGCTCATAGTAACTGAGGAAGTTTTCCAGTCAGTGTAAATTAACCCTCTGAATTTTGGAGAGGAAAGTGATTTTTGCTAGGCCCGATCCAACAAAACTACTGGGTGTATTTGCTTGTAAAGCACAGTTGCTAGAAGGGATTATTCACAAAATGTGCAGACACAAAACTACTGAGTTCTTCCTGCCAAAAAAGTTATACACACAAACATTTCACCCACTTTAAGAAGAGAGAGGAAAAAAAGGTAGGTCACATTTGGAGCCTGGCAGCCTTGACACGGTTTTCCTTTGAGACATTTTTGAATTTCTAATGCAGCAGACAGCTAAATTTAACAACTGAGCTTTTTAAAATATTCACGTGAAGCAGAAAATTGACTGATTCTCTGTGAATTCAATGGTCATTTATGGAGCAGAGTTCAAGCTTTTGAAATGCAGAGAAGAAAGATACTAAATTTAGATGGAGTGCTATTTACTATGGGATATTAACAGTGTTTCCGGATATGATCTAAACAGCGGTAATGCAAAGAAATAATTTATATCTGTGGCCTAATCCCCTAAGGTTACATTGCTGAAGGTCAAACTTTAGGTGTTTGCATCTCTGCAAATGTCAAGTTGTTTTCAGTAATGTAACTTCATGTTTTATGATGTTGAGTAACTGTCTGATCTCTTTATGGGACAAAATACCGAAAATATTCCTGTAATTCAGAGGTTTGGGAGGGGATGCAGCAGAAGAACGTGAAATTTAAGCTCTGAAATAGACCACAGTGGCCGAAAACAGCTTCACTGCAGGGAGGAGGCGCTCTGCTCCTCTCCCGCAGCTCTCGTGCTGCTCTGAAGCTGGGGAGAAGGGGCCAATGCTCCCTCCAGCCTATCCTGTAAATCTCCTAGCATCTCCCATGGGGACATCCTGGCATCTCGCGGGTGAGGTATTTATACGAGCCACGTGCCGGGGAGAAGAGTGCTCCTGTTGCAGAGGTGTCCGGCTGGGCAGCCTCCTCTGTGTGGTGCAATGAAATGACATCACCATTTAGACCATGTGCATTATTTATGGCTCAGAGAGAGTTTGTCCTTGGCCCCTACTCTGTTTTTGAGCCTCCAGGGCTTATATAGCAGGTTGCAACTGCGGGCTGGGAGGAATGACCTAATCGGGCCTGTCTTAGTGCCTGAGCAGAAGTTTGGTGGGTTTACTGACCTCAGGACTAAGGTTTGCAGCTAAGCAGTGAATGTAATAAATCAACTAACGTGACAGCTCTGAGAGCAGCACCACTGGTACTTGCCAAATCCTATTGCAACTCATTTCAATAGTGAAGTCTCCACACAGGGGTCTTCATCAGTTTTCTCCCTTTGTCGCGACTGAGGATCAGAGCAGACGTGGAAATGGCTATCCAGCCTGCCTGTGAGGTCTGCATGAGCTGACCCTTCACTGCTTATGAGACCATGTTGACTGAGAAACTAAGGCTGTGTCTTAGTGTCAGCAGTGGGTGAGTGCTCCCAACTGACAAAAACCAGGAGCTCCTGGGCCCCCGATGTTAAGACCCTGGTGAGATGATCACTAAGACCTAGGAGTTCTGATTTACCCCAACAACTTGGGAATAAGCCTATACAAGTGTAAGAGCCAACTAGTGAAACTGGCTGTTTGGTGTCCAAGAAGTCTCACTAGGCTGCCAGGGAATCTCTTCTCCATCTTTGTCCCCCAGTTTGGCTCAAAAGAGGTCTGATATGTTTGCAAACACACATCATAGTTTGGAAGGAGACATATTTTTTTCAGATTTTGAGCTCTGGATACACCAGCATGAAAGTTCTCCAGATCTCCTGAAATAAAACACACAAATGATATCAAACTTACTTCGGATCTGCTTTTTGATTTCCTTGGCAGGGTCCAACCAATTCTGAAAAGAAAACGTTTCCTTTTTCAATTTGAATTACAAAATACAATATACATTATTTTTAAAACAGTGCTATGAGACAATCCTAGAAAACTTGAAGGTCCGTCCCTTTCTCTTTGGAACAGCAGTAGGCAGGATTAACATTTAGTTTCAACATATGGCCCTGGGTAGAATCAGGATTTTATTAACTGTCCCAGAAGTTCAAGGGCTGAATGGTTTGAAATTAAAAAACAAAACAATCCACAGAAACCTTTTCCCAAAGTATCTTCTGGGAAAATGCCAATTAGATTTCCACAAGCCTGTCAAGAAGTTGTTTTGATTTAATCCTTGAAGGGCTGAGCGTGCTGAAAAGTCCTGTTACACTGTCAGTAAGCATGGCACAGGACACGTCCCTATTTGCAACCCAGCGTAAGCGCACGGGATTACCACAGGGCACCGGCAGAGACCAGAGGCAGAATTACCACTGAGGCGCCGTGCAGAACTTGCTGGCTAGGTGAGAAGATCCTGCCACGGAGGCTGGAAATCATCATGGCAACATGTTACTACTCTCTGGCTGCTGAGGAGCATTGCTGACCGAAACACAAACCCTCTGGAGAGGGTCTGCAGCTTGCTGCCTCTTGCTGCTTCAGCTCCAGCCAAAGCTTAAAATATGTGAATCACCCTGCTTTGTATCTACTTCTCTCACCCTTAGATATTGGGAGGTGAAGTCCCTGTGCTCCTGCACTGTCTTCTAGTGGAATTAAATTAGTATTTAAAATGCGTCACACAGTCCAGAACAAAAAGTTCTCTTCCCCTAGGAAACTTCCACCTTCTCCAAGGAAAGACAAACAAATGTATCAGAGCAAAAATATCAAAGAAATCTCAAACAAACAGAACACAACAAAACCCCCACAACAAAAACACCCAGCTCGCAGCTGTCCAAACCCAGTTAGTAGTGCTAATCACGGGGCTTAAAGAGTTCCAACTATTTTTGAGCACGAAAGCACACTACGCACCAATAAATTAAAGATGTATTAGGATTTCTATTCTCAAACGTGACATGTGATGTGGATGCATATATTGCGGCTGGAAGACATTTGGCAGAGGATGGAGGTGAATTAGTAAGTACTCTGACATCAGAAATATATGCACGTTATTGATCAATAAATATGGTGTCAGTCAATTATTCTTTTAGCTATTTATCTCTGGAGAGTAACTGGTGATCTATAAATGTTTAGCACTTCTAAATCACCCATTAATAATGTATGCATTTTTTTGTTCCCCATACAGGAAAGCATATTTATTTGGAAATGCACTTACACATCTTCCTAACTTTAATCATAACTCAAAATTAAGCATATGCTTAAGTGTTATCTTGAATTGGCATGGACCGAGTGTCTGCTTAAGTAATCTTCTGAATCAGGGACAAAAACCTCATATTTATAAGTCTGTAAATAGAGGGGAGGAGAGAAAAAAAAACAAAAAATCAAAAAGCAGACTCATTTCTTTTGTATCATATATAACTGAAACAAAGGGAAGCCTAGAAAATATAAATGTTCTCACAGGACACAAACAGCTAAAAAAGTAGCAATAGCTCCAGCTACCTAAGGGAAGACTTTTGAGGCCATGCCAAGCACAGAACACCTCCATCTGGCAAACTCTGCTGGGCTATGGCACAGTTTGCTAAGAAGTTCTGGTATTCGGTTCTTTTAAAATATTAACCCTAAAATATCAACATACGCACAACATAATTTAAAATTATCCTTTGACAGACAGAGTAAGTCTAGACTTAAAGCCATACTTTTATCTTAGCTGCTGGCAGCAACAGTGAATCAACTCCTGCCTATCTTTATCCCAATCATAGTATTAAACAAGCCATATTTTAGTATAACATATTTAGCAATAGTTCTATGAAAGTAAACCTGACTCTCATCTATGGTGTTAATGAAAGAAATCCTACTAGAAAGAGAATCAGCTACATGATTAAGTTCTTTCATGTCATAAACAGCCAACACAGGGGGAAGCCAAGGAAATGCAGGGGATGTTCTCGGGAGGCACAAAACGGTTACAAAAAATAATAGCTCTAACTACATACATGGGGCTTGGAAAGAAAGATAAAAACAAGTTCTGGACTGTTTGTAACTGTTTGGAGGGGTGTCTAAGGGGAAATCTGAAGCCCGCATATGAAAAGGCCAACCCAAGTTTGTGTATTACCTTTTGGTTTTCTGCGTCTCTGTATGTTAGTCCAAAGTAGTCCTTCTCCAAAAGGTTCAGATGCTCACACACTTTGTCGAATAGCACTTGACCTCTGGACCGTTTCTATGGGAAATGAAAAAAAAAAATCATGCTTGCAGAATGAAGTGATGTAACCTTTTCTGTTTAATTCTGAAATCAGGAACCCAAAATTGACTTATTTAAACTGACCCATCTCTCAAACCCCACTGATCCAGAGCTTCGTAAGAATCTGCTGAATGGGACAAATCTGTTTTTCATAAAAATTCAGGTCCTGTTGTGGAGTTAAAAATAAATCAATGGACATCATGTTTCAAGTTTCAATTAGAAGATTTCTTCTGCCTTTCAGAAATTGCTACTTCACATTTATTCCGAGGTTGTATCTCAGCAAAAAAACAGCTTTTTTTATACGTAACAGTAGGAACAAACAATATTACAAAATATTCCCAGGTGTGGATTATCAAAGCTGTGACTCCAGGGCAAGCCACTGGAGGAGAAGGTGAATGTGGAAATATTTCTTGCTTCAGTGACACTGTGGACCAATTCCAGGATCCTTTCTTGTATGATATACAGGGAAATGCAATACACCATCTTCTGAAGTCAATGGAAAGAGTATAGCATCTCACTGGAATGCAATTGGGTAAGCATTCCATTGACCTTCTTTATTGCTAACATTTATTTTATTTTATTTATTTTTTATTGCTATTGTTACATGAAAACATATTTATCTTTCACTGTCAACAGCAACAGTGCTTAGTAGAACCTTCGTAGTACCTCTTAGGCCGGACAGTAAAAATTCAGGTCATCCTCGTTCTCAGTGTTATATACGGCACTGAAAATAAAATTCAGAAAAAAAGGCAGAGGAGTCCCTTTTATAAGCTTCCAATGCAGAGTTTAATATTCTTTAGCTATGACAAAGAATTCAAAAGTGTTTGGGCCACTCTTTCATCAGACACTTCCTGCTTCCCTGAGCACATCTCAGCTGAAGGAAAAAGAAACATGCTCTCCACTTTATTTCAAACATACACATGCATATGCATACATAAATATTTTAGCTTAATCTTGATGTCAGTGAGAGTTTCTTTAGCTGTTACACATGATTTTAAGCCGAATGGAAATACGCTTATTACTTCAAACGCAACACTGAAGCCAATGACAAAAGAGGACAGAACACTCCTTCAGAATTTATCTTCATTAAAATAAGGAGGGCACATCCAGAACACTGCAGAGATTATTGTCTTCTGTCTGTGTTTTGCAGTGACCATTTGTGGCCATGTTAAACGGCATATATTCATTACAGTCTGCCATTCTTTAAAGGTCAGCCATCTGGATCCATGTCTCCTCTACTCTACAGCACCCCTGCCACTACAACTATTTTATCAGAGCCCCTTCGTGGGCATGCCGCATTCTTCTTCCTGCACCAACTGCCTAAGCTATATAAATGGAGTGGAGAAAAACGCTCTTCTGTCATTTAAGCTGCACCTATACCACGTTGCCAGCACAGCAATGTTGGCTGCAGCGTGTGGATATTTCACAATCCAAACTGACATAGCTATGCCAACAGAACGGTAGAGCCCCGAGCTGGCCTCAAACTATTTTAGAAGTAGTAAGCAAGCCAATGCAAAATAAAAAATTGAGGGTTGCTGTCTAACACTCAGCAAAAATATTATGAAAAGTAATGGAGTAAGTTGCATAGTATAACCTAATTTACATTTAATTCAGTATTTCTATTGAAGATGTGATTGTACATTAGACAGGACGGAGGGAAATAGCCTCTACAGTTTTATTGATGGTGAAACTGAGAAATAAGGTTGATAAAGTCTAACAAGTGTTCTTCAGCTGAAAGGAAAACATGCCACAGAAGCGTCTTGCAAATGGTGCGCATTGCCTTAACTTCATTTACTGTGTCCTCTTATACCACTTGAGTAAGCAGCTCTAGAGCCTTATTCTCCTTTTCACATGCTCTCAACCCTGTATTAGGAAGCATAACTGCAGCCTCAGTTGCTCTATGATTTCAAATAAACATTCAGTTAATTCTTCAAGTCCCAAACTTGGAATTCAAAAACAGAGGATGGTGGCTTTATAGTTTAAACTCCATGGAGATGAGTAATTAGATAAAAGGGACAACTCCATTACTGATGCACAGAGAGGAACAAAGTCTGAACTTTCAAGCCAAAACAGCCACATTTCTGCTAGAAATAAGCTACACTATATTTTGCTGAATTCCTTGCTTTACCTGACAGCAAACTAAGTAGTTATCCTGAATGGAGAGAAGTAAGTTATATCAACATGATACCCACTTCAGGAAACAACCTGTCTGCACCATTTACATGTATTTGAATTGTGACACTTCAATGTCCTGTCTTAAGAGTCATACAAAGCCAAAACGGGAGCTTTTTTGTCTCGCTGATCCACGCAGCTACACAGATGTCAGCTTTGAGAAACAGTAGCTAGCAGCTGCAAGGTATGATGTTTTAACAGCGAACTGTAGGAAGCAGTTGCGTGGGGCTGTGCTGCATCAAAAACGAAAGAAAGCCCCTCAGGATTGTTTGTGTATCTATGTACATAGAGCACTGCTGCTTAGTACCAATGCAGGCACACATGCAACATTAGCATTTACTCATTTTCTAAAATAACGTTGCACAAAATCACAGTAAGGGGAGACAACTGCATAAACCCATAGGAAATTAAGTGCTTTAGTTAGGAACAAACAATTAAAGCAAATGAACAGACCTTCCATGCTCCTATTAATTGCTCTTATTTTACCATGTGCCTAAATAAGCATGATAGATAAGGTATGGGTATCACTCCTTTGGCAGACAGTCAGAGAGAGAAGTGGAAGAAACAAAGGTCCAGTTATAAATTCATACAGCTCCCAAATCCATCCTACACCTTTGCTTTCTACCATTTTGGTGTCTAAGGGAATGAAAGACCGACAGTCTGCTGGTTAGTATGAATTACAGCTTAACGGGAAAAACGTCAAGCCATTCTCAGCAGTCCAGAAAGTGTGCTTAGTGTCTGGAATGTTTTGAGTGGATCGAAAAAAATTGTTTGTAAGTTCATGCTATAAAGTATTATCTATCTAAATGAAGAGCTGTTCCAAAAAATACAGAGAGAGTCTCCTCCAAAAGTATTTTTAGGTATGTTTTAAAAATGAATGGGATGAATAAAACATACAGATACGAAAAAGAGAGACCCTTTGCTTAAAAAAAAAAATCAAGACAACTGAAAGAATACAAAATCTAGTTTGGACAGTATAGACGAGTACAAAAGCCAGGGAGCAAAACGTCCGTACTTCTCACAGGCGCTTCCCTGAAATTATATAAAACCCACGGTTCTCATTTGAAGTGAGAATTGGAAAAAACAGCCTCCTGGTCAGGCTCCCAGTGAAAAGAGCCAACAGCAGTAAACTTGGCAAATCTGCACCCGCCAGCAATTCCCACATGCAAGGGAGAGGAGAAACTGCATCTTTCTTCGCCAGCTTCTCTTCTGTTTTTGGACCTGAGCCTCTTCCTCCTCAGGAGGCGGAAGGCTACAAAAGGCTCTCCCGTTCCCCTAATTGGCTTCCCCAGAATCAGTCCACGTTCAGAATTCTCCAAGTCAGCTTCTCACACGGCTTCTGCTCTGCCTCCTCCTTCCCAGCTATGCCCAGCCCAGCTCCCAGCTGTCCTGCTCTCAGCAACCCAGCACCACTGACCTTATCTGACACCTCCCTTCCCAATTTTCCTTTCATTTCTGGATTCCTGATCTTTTTCTGCCCTGGACTCTGCCCAGTGCACCCCCACCCCATGTCCTAATCCACCCTCTCCCTTTTTGTATCTTGGCCACTAATGACTATTGCTCAGCAGCACTGAAAATGAGAAAGGAAATAGTTAACACTATTGAAAAAACTGGATCATAAAAAATTATATATTTCAGCTAATGGCCTAAGGACCTGGAGGACGGAACAAACATGCATTTCCCTTGTACTTGTCGGTGACGTCTCCAGTTCAGGGATCATCTTCAGGCATTATCCCTCCAGCACATCCCTATCCCGCACGCTGTAACCAAATCATCGGACCAAGACAACACATTGTACATCATCACAAATGAGGCACTCAACAATGAAGTACTTCATCTTAGCACTGCATATATAACAGGATTATTGTAAAATCAATTATTCTTACTGGTGAACTTTCGGGTACAATGCCCGATATTTCTTTGTGAAAAAACATAATGAGAAAGCTTTTCTTCATTATGGTTAAACTCATAAGCTATAATGTACATAAGATGAACGGACATTATTAAAAGAAAAAAAAGCAAGCTTTAGTTACAGATACATTGTCATTTCAGCCATTAAATAAGTACCGCACATGAAAATAATCACAGGATTACAGAGCCTGCAAGGGACCTCTGGAGATCATCAGGTTCAGCCCCCTCGCGCAGGGTCAGCTACCGCAGGCTGCCCAGGGTGATGTTCAGTTGGGTTTTGAACGTCTCCAAGGATGGAGGCTCCAAAGCCTCTCTGGGCCACCTGTTCCAGTGTTCAACCACCCTCACAGTAAATAAATCATTTCTAATGTTTAAGTAGAATTTCTTGTGTTTCAGCATGTGCCCTCTGCCTCTCATCCTGTCACTGGGCACCACTGAGAAGACTCTGGCTCCATCCTCTTTGCAACTCCTCCATCACATATTTATACACATTGATAAGATCCTCCCTGAGCCTTCTCTCCTCTAGGCTACAGAGTCTCAGTTCTCTCAGCCTCTCTTCATTTGTCAGATGCTCCAAGACACTCCCTTAATCATCTTCATGGTCCTTTGCTGGACCTGCTTCAAGTAGGTCCGTATCTCGGACACAGTACTCTAGATGAGGCCTCATCGATGTGGAGTGGAGGTGAGGGATCACCTCCCTGAACCTACTGGTAACGCTCTGCCTAACAAAGCCCAGGATGTTTGTTGTTGGCCTGAGCTACAAGGGCATGTTACCGACTCACGGTCAACTTGTCCATCAGGATCCCAAGTAATATCCTGGGTCATAGCAATCAAGTTGTCAACGTCGTATGTTACTATACTGTGATGAGCCCCTAGGAAAGTTATATGGAAAATAA